TAATAACTAAAATCGATGGTTAGAATGTTAATATTGTATTTTGGCTCTTCTGAAAAGTTAAAAATTTCAGATTATGCCTATAATATTATCCTTAGGTATATTCAATAGGTAGGTAGGTAAAAGTTGCAACGTCTATGATGTTTTAAAAACATATGTAAAAGACATCAATCAACATCCGTTATAACTATAAGGTAGGTTCTTCAAAATTAGCGATAATAAGTGTTTTTAATGCATATAAACCATGTGGTTTATTAAAACTTTTAAAGCTTTGATTTATACAATCTAGCATAGAAGAAGCTTATTTGTTTGAATATATAAATAATGCACATTAAATGATAGATATCTATCATAATATATCGATATGCATAAAAAATTATACCTAGCGGTCATTATTCTTATAGATGCTAGTGAGTTCACAATCGTTTAAATAGTATAGTTATATAAAGATATGGTGTCCGTTTATTTTATTATATTGTATGAGCGCTAATCGTCGAATTTTTTTTTATTATTGTATGCATATTATATGCAATAGTTGTGGAAGTTAAGCATAATATTTTTCTAAATTACTGTCTGGTTGGCTTTGCGATTGCTCAAATAGTCACACATCAACCTAAATTATCTGGTTTAATTGTTTAAATATCATAATATTTATTTACATCACTACGGTTTGTGAATAAACACAGTAGGTACTCATAATATTTTTTTGAACTGCAAAATGTACTTCTCGAAAGAATTTTTGGTCAAAATTTCGTTCGCTTGCGTCGGTATAGCAGGAATGTCGTTGATATTATCAGGGCGAAATAAACCTGCAACTACTGATGGATGTGGACTGAAAAATAAGAACGAAGTCTTGGAGGTAAACAAAATATAATACATAATATCATGTATAGGTTATAGGTTTATATTATAATAATAAAGTTTTAATTCTTTAATATTTGTCATTTTTAGTATAAACAACGTATTAATTAGTTTTCGAGCAAAAATTTTGTGTGTCTGGAGTCCTGACATACCAGGTTCTTGCTCTGAAATGTAATAACCTGGTAAGCCCATTTTGCTTATATTATCAACTAATATTCGGGCATAACGGTATACCGAAATCGAAATGTGTAGTTTTATTTCCTAATCAGGAAATGACAATAAAAAACTTTTTTGAAAAATTGGACATATCAGGTTTTGCACTGAAGAATTCCATACTTTTTAACTTAGATAGGTAAAGGTAGGTACATATATTTACCATAAGTGCAAATTTACACTTATGAGCTGGTATATTTAAGTATTATAGTAACAGTTGAAATTCACTAACTTTGAACTTGTACATTTAACTAGGTATTAATCTGTAAATATAATATGAAATACAAGTCACATACATTATGTTGGTAAATTTCAACCCATATTAATAGTTAAATTTACAAATCATAAGTATGAGTAAACTTCGACCTACTGATAATTTTACAAATAAAATAGATTAATTCATTAATCCAACTTCGCTATGACTGTAAATTTACAAGTTATGTGTTGTAGATTTAAACACAATAATATATGGTTAATATTGGTTATAAGTGGGTGTTGCCACACGTTTTGTATGAATAATCATTTTTTTACAGTGTATACAATTATTTAAAGGAACGTTGTAATATAATATATAACATGGGTAGGACATATAAATATATTGTTTATACGTTGTAATTAATATTGTATACAAACTATACTCTATTTCACGAGAGAACGGTACCGGCGGCCTCAAAAACTCGTTCGCCGCCGCGCATCGTTGTAGGCTAATAATTATAAACACTTGAAATTTGTATCAAATGTTTATTTTATCAATTCCTATACTTGATAACATTTTCAAAATGTATTGACCTGTTTCAATTTGTAAATTTGTTTACGGACATTTTCAATTTTCGATTTTTTTAGTTTTTTTTCTATCAATGTCAATAAAATTTGTTGATTCAAAAAAAGTGAACATTTTATGCAATGTTTTTTATATATTGTTATAATAGCAGTAAAAAATACATTAACACTAACTTGTTCACAACAAATGTTCAGGTAGCAATATTGAGCAAACATTGAGGTTTGAGTAAAAAACATAAACAATTACAGAAAATTAATTCCCGCGAAAGTTATCCCTGTATTTGCGACGGTTAAAGGATCACAAAATTAATAATAATTTATTATAATATTATTTTCTCTAGTCGAAGGTGGGTAAGTCAAAAATGCGAACATTTGTATCTCGCCATACGGAATTGGTTCCCGATAAAAAAATTACCTATGCCTCGCTATTACTATTTATATAAAGATGTTGTAATTCGTTTAAATTTAATACTATTTACCGTCGGTCGACCCGCAGCTGTTATTGTATTGAACATCCTAATCCAGTCATCGGACAATCCCAAAAAAAATGTTCGTCCAACGGATGATCTGTCTTAAGTTCAGGAGTATCGCGATAATGGTAACCCATAAAATGATATTGAATAATGTGAACTCCATATTTTATTTGACGATTTACAATAACTTCACGGTAGCGTGCAAAAAATTAGACGTGAGTTTGTTGTGAAATGAACACATTTTATACAAAATATACGTCGTCAAGTATAGTACCTAAGTGATTCTAAACAGCCAGATAGGTGCCTATATTTATTCGAATAATAATTTTTTTTCAAACAAATAAATAATATTAAAATTTGGTGGCGGTGAAACCCATTCGGACCTTACGGCGAAAATACCTCAGTGTGGCGTAAATCAAAAAGACACAATTGCCTGAAACCAGTGGCGTTTCGAAGGTATTATTTTCCTTCAAAGTTGTTGGTTGGTGGGTGGTCCCCTGCCACAAAATAGGTGACTAAGTGTATCGTAGAAATATCATATCCGACCATACAAATCATTACAAATGAACTCATATTGTGGAAATTTTTAATTTAAACTTATTTGCTAGGTTGGAAATGCCGTTATAAACATCAAGGGTGGTGGGTGGGTGTGTACCTACCTTGTATACATTTTTTCTCATCACGCATGACCACCTAATGACTATACAATTATATTTCCGAGCTTAGTTCTAATTTCAAATTTAAACACTTGTTTTCAAATTGAAGATACATTTATTTATAAGTTTGGTCAACGTATTTATTATTTAATTATTAAAAAATTAGTTATTTTAAATAACAATCCATAGTTTTAACTATTATTATTATATTGTGATTTGTAATTTAAAATGAAATCGAAAAACAGTTTAAAATACAACTTAATATAAGTAGACTTGTATAACAAAAGGCACTTATATTAGAAAATCTAAGAAGCAATAATAATGGTTTTGTTTCAAATAAAGGTTAAACTTCTTGAAAAATAGTAAGATATATAAAAAAAAAAAGCAGGTAAGTATATGTCACCCTGCTGTACAGTAGGTTATAAGTAGGTCAATGTATAATGGTCAATGGATTGTATTGAACTTGAATTTAGTGATATAATATCATTGTATAAAAAAAACAATTCTGAGCGGAGACGGTTTGTCAGTCTGGATTTTTTATATTGTTATTATTAATTATTATAGCCTGTTAGTTAAATTAATATTATAATATTATAATTGATTGAAAATTCAAAACAAGATTCCTCGTAAGTAGTTTATTTTGTTACCAAAAATCTAGAAAACACATTAGCACAGTTTATTAATATAGTCATTTTAAGTTAAAATTCGGACATATTATTAAAAACCTAGAATAACTATTTTAGTTATATTTATTTTTTTTTTTTTTTTTAAAGAATAAGGCTTCAACACGAAGGTTATTAGCCTGACAACGTTTCACATATAAGTTTCTTAAAATTAGGTATTATATTTATTTGGTAATTATTTGTTATTTACAGAAATTACAATTTTTTGATAATATTAGTAATAATTAGAAATTCTATGATTTTTAACGTGTTGTGTTCTTCAAGCGCTTCTGCAACGTTAGATGGTATGCTATGTGTCTGTTGTATTGCTTGAGTTTGGCTTATGCAGTGGTTTGTTGAGGAAGTAATACTTGAAACAGAAGTTGTGCTAACTTTGATAGACATATTTTGAGTTTACGATATTTTACTATGTCTCGAATTGAGTCTAATAAGTCCATTAGAGATGCTATATCAAATAGCAAGAATCTTTCGCCTTTTAGTTATTTTGTTGTGATTGTATATAATATTATTCGTTGGAAATTGAAACTTCTAAAGTATACTAGCTATTATATATCTATTATATTATCACTGTTTGTTGTTGATGTATAACAAGTTATAAGTACCTAATGGCTATTGTGATACGATTAATTTGGAATTTATTATAGGACCATTTTTTTTTTTTAATACCATAGATAAGTATATAATATGTCTTATACCTAGACTGACACACCGTATCCGCTCATTATCGTTTTTTTATACAATGATATTATATCATTGAATTAAACATTAATACCATCCATAATATAGTGACCCCCTTGTAACCTACTGTACAGCAGAGTGACTTTTTAAATGATTAATTTAATTAATGAAAATACTATATATTTGAAGAATTAATGAAGTTTTAAAATTTTTCTATTCATTTTTATGTTAATTATAGTGTATCGCGTTTTTATAAAATATATATAAAAATTATGTAGCACTCGGAGATATTTGCAATTAAATTATTAGGCAATGATAAAATAAATATTTTTGAAAATAACAAGTAGGTACCTATGATTATCGTGTACACAAACAACCAAAGTAAATAAATAAATCATTGCAAAATCAATAAATTCATCACTCCTCACAAAATCTAATATATATAATATATATTGTAAATTATAATATAACATTTTTTTTTGATATATTAAACTTTATAGCTTATTTCTTTGTAAATAATCAATTTAAATTATAAAAAAAACATTTGTATCCAACATTCACAAAAAGAAAATTAAACAATTCAAGTTTCGTCATAAATTATATATAAATATGTTCATATAATCATATTACTATCAACAACAGACCATTATATATGCTGATTAGTTAATACAATTTGGTGGTCTATCAACAACTACTCCACCATAAATTTGTACTCCATTTCTTGACAATCTCTCCATGGTCCAAGTATTGGTTTTGGGGTTGTAAATTTCTACAGTATCATTGATAGGTTCATCAGATTCTCCACCCATAACATACAATAGCCCATCTAATGCCACTACTCCTATATAAAAATGTAATGTAAATTCAATCCATTATTACAAAGGTTGTCGTAAAAAATATAACTGTTATAGTTACCAGGACGATATCGGCATATTTCCATATCAGCTACAGACGACCAAACTCCATCACTCGGTCTATAAACCTCAACACTTTTAAGATACTTTCCACCATAGCCACCAATAGCATACATAAGACCGTCCAAGACTCCTACACCAACACCTTGACGACATGCAGACATATCTGCAACTGGTGTCCATGTGTCAAGTGTGGGATCATAATATTCCACAGATGTCAAACATTTACCATTACCAGCACCCCCAACCTACACAATTTAATTCAATGAAATGTATTACAAATTAAAAATAAATAAATAATATATTCATTCACCGCGTATAATAAATTATTGAGTACACCAACACCCAAATCCCATCTTTCAGTGGACATACTAGACACTGTTCTCCATTTTTGATTACTGACATCAAAAACCTCAACACTATTTAATGAATTTTTGTCATATCCTCCACCAACCTAGAATTACAAATAAAATTCATTCTTAATATAAAATAAGTGAAATATTGATTTAACTTACTGCATAGATACAATCATCCAATACGCCAACTCCTAATCGTTCTCGACCAACTACCAAGTCGACCATTGGAACCCATAATAGTGATTTTGAAGATACGTCAAGCATACTAACAGATTTAGAACTCGTTCCATTTACATCTCCTACAGCAAACACAAATTGGTCATTTATCACACCAAAACCAGCATACTTCCGACATTCATTTATTCCTGGTGCTTTCTCACAAAGTTTGGTTGCTGGGTCATACCATTCTGTATAACACTTTGGCGATGTATCAGACAGGTTGAACATTAAAATAACCTGATATAATTAAAAGGACGACATAATTGTGAAGATAAATTAATCAAAACAGTATCATACTTTTTGAGAAACACCAAACTGTCTAGGTTTACATCTAATTGTTTTTGGAATGGTGAAATGCTCAACTGATTTTTGTAGATTAAATTGTATTGCATCATATACATAATCTTTACCTAAAAATATTATAACAACACTTGATAAAATACATAAATTCATAATGATGGTATATTTATGAAAATAACATACATTTAGGACTATTTTTTAGAAGAGGTTCTTCAGATATTTTAAATAATATATTAGGCTTTAATAATGGCAAACGAACATGTTCCATTAATTCTGGCACAAAATCTTTTCTGGGATCCAAATCATGATTTACCCATCTCATAACACAGTCCAATACCTATAATTAGAAATATTTAAAACTAGATTAAAATATAATAATTTGTTAAACCACACAATAATAGCTCGTACCATAAATATAAATATAGTTCCTCAAGTTATTGGGTATCCCCTTCTTTTCATTGCAATGAATGGCACGGTCTTATATGTATAAGATTATAAGACCATGGTATAGGTAATAATTATATTTTGATAAATCTATTTTTATTAGTTTCATTCTTTCATAACTTTTTATATGTATATGTATTATTAGTAATAAAATATATTTTTATAATTGTTAAATTCCCTTTGTTTTACACTGTGTCTAGCCAATTATATGGCCCATCTATGTAATTTTTCCCCCTCCATGGTCCCCTCATAATTAAGCCCTGGATCCACCACTGAAAGAATATATCAGTGGTCGGGGGGGGGGGGGGGCTGTATTAAACAAACCGAATATTTATGCAGCTATATAGTCCTATAGCATAAACAATATGATATTCATATTTGTGATTTGTTATTTATTATTATTATTATTATTATTATTTGGAAATTTAAATTTGATAATTTGATAACTGTCTTATACCAATATTTGTGATTTTTCCTCTTGTCGTTTTTACTTGAAGTTTTTCAGTATCGTTTTATTCCTAAATTCATATTTAATAGTGATTTATTTGTTAATGGATTGACTTAATATTAAGTCTGTGGACTGTAGCAATTTAAATTAATTTTCTTTAGCTGTGTGAAATCTATTATACTCCTCTTTGATTAAGAATTATTTACCGCCACGGTGCATGTTATAGCCAGTAATAGACAATAGTCAGAGCAGATAAGGAAAGTTCATTATTTGATACAAACTGATAAAATGAATGTAAACCAAATATTCCATTAGATAATTGATACTTAGTACAATTATACCTGGTTTACAACAAATAGGTAGATACAAATACATTCATAATAGATACTTGCAACAATTATTTATCATTTTCAAAATATTTAAACTCTTTTTGAGCTATTTATTGGCATTCAAAAACAAAATTCTTTTAGTTTTTTTCGATAATATCCATCAAATAGTATTTATTGTCAAGTCAAAAAGCTTGAAGGATAATAATTTTACATTGTTATATCTTAACAATTCTGTTTGACGGTACTTGACACTTTTAAAATATATTATTGTATTGTATACACACAATGATATTTTAAAATGCAAATCTTTAGCAAACATAATATAACCGTCTGCAGTAATGCAGCATGACTAATGTCTTATGGCAAAATAGATTATTTTAATAACAATATCATAGTTAGTAATATTATTAAACCTCTATTCACAGTTCTTTTTCGCAAACAGTTATTTTATACATATCATTGTTCAAAAACTATGAAACCCATTTCTTACAGCGATACCATAGAACAATGTAGAAGCGGCACTCGATCAGCTGATTGGGGTCTTGTTTACCTATGATCTGAAGTCTGAATCTCCGAAAAACACGGAAACCTTTACCAATATGATGTTAGACCCAAGGTGGTACTATTTAAATGTTTACCGGAACGTAGGCGGGAGGCGCTAAGCTGGGTCAGCTTGTTTACCATTCCCTATTTCACCTATGCCACGCCCCTCTAGAGACATTGTTCAAGGTTAGAATCACCCGATCCGACCAATTCACGAAGTGTCGTATCCCTGGTGATACCTCAAGACACCTAGAGCAATACCCACCTGCCCACCTTCTTTAAGTTAGTTAGTCATAGTCAGAGCAGACAAGGAAAATTCATCATTTAATACAAATTGATAAAATGGATGCAAACCAAATATACCATTAATACTTTGTACAATATTATATCTAGTTTAAAACAAATAGGTAGATACAAATACATACATAATACTTGTTTATTTTATCATTTTAAAAATATTTAAAACTATTTTTAAGCTATTTATTGACATTTAAAATTTGTTAACTGTCAATAAAACTGTAATAGTTCAGTCAAAAAGCTAAAATTATAACAATATTACATTTTTATAATTTAAAAATATTATTGAAAAGGTAGTAAGGTACTTGAAACTTTTAAAATATATTATTGTATTGTATACACACAATGATATTTTCAAATGAAAATTTTTTAGTAGATAAAATAGAAGAAAATAGATTATATTATACTTAATAATATTATTAAACCACCATTTACAATTATTTTTTGTAAACAGTTATTTTATATCAATGAATTCAAATATTAAAAACACATTTCTTTCAGCAATCCCTCAAGACACTTAGAGCAATACCCACTTGCCCACCTTCTTTAAGTTGATTTTCCATACAAAATATTCATATTCAAATTACAAATTGCTGTTTAGCTTACTTTTTCTTCATATGGAACAGCAAGGTCATTACAAGAGATAATCTTAACCACATCTTGGGAAGATAAAGATAGGAACTCATCACTTTTAACCACTTCCCTGAAAATAATTTTCATTATATAGATAATTTATTAATGAATAATATAAACAATTAAGTTATTTAAATCATACAGAAACTGTTTTTTTATTAATGCTTCAGAACTTGATAACAATTCTGTACAGTTATGTAAGTCAGCAAACGATCTGATACCAATACAATTAGATGCATCCAGTTGTTTTTGTAAAAACTCAGCACATGCATTAATTACATACTCTAGCTGTAAGACATTTGCAGCTGGTAACAACACCTTAGAAATCAACAATAATTCACATAAAATGATATTATGTTATTTGAATAACATATTCAATTAATATTCAATTATACCTGTACATTTTCTTTTGTGACCATAATTTCTCCAGTATAAATATAATCTACTAATACTTGTAAAATGGTGGAATCTAATTCTCTTATATTTACAAGATCTTTGTTGCTCTCATCAAAATGACTAAACATTGCAGAGAAATATGGACTAGCTGCTATTAAGACAATTTTATGACCAAACGTTATACATCCATCATCTGTTTCAATTCTAATATCACATAAAACTTCATTTCTAAAAACAAAAATATATTATGGATATTTATTATAAGTGAAGGTAAATAACCATCAACATACTTGCGTAGAGATTGTAAATCTTCCAGTATTCTGGCAGAGTGAGAGTTATTTCTAAAATTTGTTGGTTCACATTCTTTGGATGTCAAAACTTGCTTTAGATTATTTTCACAAGATGAAGCCTGAATAGTATCCATTTCATTTACTGACATAGAACACCTTTGAACATATTTTACAAATTGTGATTAATTTTAATATCATCATTGTGTTAAAACTTAATACTAAATTTGGGTACTTTAGACAGGGTACAAACCATGGTTGGTAATATATGCATATAAAACATTTTATACTTGGCACACATATAATGCCCTACATATTAATTGTATAAAATGACTCAAACATATACAATTTTATAGCGACTAAGATATAATAATAATTGTTTATTCAATAAAATGGGCAAATTATAACAAATATTAACTATTAAGTAAATATTGTTTTATTTGAAATTTATACTTAGTATAATAGTGATAATACTGTAGATATTTTAAATTTTAATAAGTATAAACTTAAAAAAGTAATATAACAAATTTACGAATCACATCAACTTGGTGAATTATACGTAATAATTGCTGTTCAGTGCAGCCATAAAAAAAATGTTTACAGTAGAAAATATATACAAATAAGTACTTCAATACTGCAAGTATAATACGTGATTTATACTTTACTGTTAAAATGTTTTACCTATATCTTAATCCTAGTAAAACCCAACAAAATAATGATGTTAAGTAATTATTAACTTATTATAGTTAGATTTATTAAATATAAACAGGTAATTGTTGAAATAAATAATATATATTTAATAATGTTCATAGATACTAGATAAAAAATTGTGTGTATAATACCGAGAGTGCCATTTCGGTGAATTTCTGAAATGTTTACAAATCCTTATAAAATAATTAGCAGGTTTAAAACTTCTACCTACATAATTTAGTTTATCTCTGGCTAGCTATGTAGTTATTTACACATTTTCTGTCACCTCAAAGAATTTATTTAAATAAGAAAAAAAAAATTAACACAATGGGTTACTTGATTATAGTTACCGTCTATCCTAATGATTCTAATGATTCTATATTAGATTCATTATACATATTGGCTTTTTCATTATAGTTTTAGTAGAGTAATATTGTTTTTCAATACATATGGCTACAATATTGTAGCCATATATTGTATATGGCTTTCCCAAAAAATCTACACCAACTGCATGGATCATTTATTTTTAACTTCACATCATGATCACAATATTATTATTCAATTATAGGTACACAAAATTAAGAATATTTATATATTTATTGTTATTAAAATGTTATTGAATTAAAATAAGTATATAAAAATATGTACTTATTCTCTTATTTATTGCAGTTGAATTCAAATCAGTGTAATAATCAACAATACCGAACGACTGGAGTTCTAGACAAAGGTATTTTATTAAAATATTTTAATATGGGCTTAAATACAATTTACCTAATCGATATTGGTGTGGACAACCGGATTAAGATGAAGTCAGAAGTTGTGAGGTAAGAATGTAAGATGGTAATTGTAGGTACGTAAGTTGACAGTTGTAATCAGTTGATTATATCCATAAAGATTAGAGATAAGGGGGCCAAACACAAAAAACGTCCCATAAAACATAGCATACTAATTTCTCTACCAGTCTGCGTGGCGGTCAAATCCGTGGCTGGCTAGAAGTATAATTAACCCGTATTAGATAGGGACATACTTGACTTTATTACCTTTAAAATATAAAGATTAAAAAACTAAAAATTGTATTTAAATTACAATTACACCAATACACCATTATATTCATCGCAAATTTGTCTTTAAGAATAAATTAGAAAAATATTATTAATGTTCTACACCTAAGTAATAAATGTACATAATATAAATAGTAAAAATAGGTAGGTAAACTGTTATGTTTACATAATTATTATTATTATTTACTAGGTACATGTAATTTTCTTCAAACCAATAATTATTAATAACCATACCAACAACTTTTTTGATCCTCATACAGGTGCTCAAACACAAATAATTGAGTGTTTATGAAGACATGTAACTATGTAAGAGTAAAATGCAATACAAGGTCTCGTGGAGTAAAAAACCTACTCGAAAGGCAATTTATTAGAGGAAGAATGACGGTGTTCACTGTTCAGACAGATCATCTAATGTCTTTTGAAAGTATTTTAAAAGACATAAGAGACACATTTGAATAATAATATAGAATCAAATCCTTTACGTAGAAAATATACGATACAATCAGTGGTTTTTTGTGGATAGCATACGACACGTGAACATACATTTCTAACCCAAAAGTTATTTGCAAATTTTCGTGATTTTGAAGTATTTTGGCCAATTCTTACTTTGTCGCGTGTCCGTGTGGTGCACAATAATATGACGGCAGTTGTGTACTGTACTACTGTGTAGGAGCAGCGATTCTGGGAGCGGCGTGAATGCCGATTCGGCGAGTGACAATAGCTGAACAGCGACCACGAGTCACGAGTCACGACTAAAGGAAATGTACGTGTGTCCGATGGTGTCACAACTCGCAGTGTACAGTAATAACAACTGATAACACAATAATAATATTATTATTACTAAAAAAAAAATATAACAATATATCCGCATAATTAGGTACAAAATTATTAATCAACCTAAACGTGTGAGAAAAACGTGTATACAGTTGTACCACAGTTGTACCTACTACCTATATATTATACATACACGCTGTACTAAACCGCGTGCGTCGAGCTGCGCATCAGTAACTTTCGCGTTCTACTGTGCCACTGTGGTACAAGTGTACAACTCCAGAGACCACGAGTCACTATACTATAGTATTATAGGAAATTTACTTGCGTGCGATATGCCTCTCGATGGTGTCGCGGTGTACAGTAATAACACAATAACAATATTGTTACTAAAAAAAATATTAAGTCGATACAATTATAATATTTTATAAGTACAAAATCATTAATCAACCGAAACGCGTAAACACTAAACAGACTGTGACAACTGACAAAATTGAAAATGACAAAATAGATAGGTATGTCAGCAACACGGACTAAGATATACAGGACTGGACACGAAATGAATATTGTGGTTACGAAATGTTTTACAACAGGCGGAGTTCGGGGGGATATTTTCCTTTTAGCATTACTAGCGCCGTCTTAGTGGATACTTATGGAACTAGATCACATTATTGTCATCTAGTTCCAAAAGTATCCACTAAGACGGCGCTAGTAATGCTAAAAGGAAAATATCCCCCCGAACACTGCCTGTTGTAAAACATTTCGTAGTCAACCCCCCCACACCCTCCAACCTTGTCGTGTCCAGTCCTGTATATCTTAGTCCGTGGTCAGCAACAACCTTCCCAACCATGGTCGTAGTTCGCCCCATTTCATTCGTTAAATTACTCAGCCAAGTGCCAACATACAGCGGCGAACCAGCTTGGCAGCTTATTGAAGTGGTGTCGGCATAGATAATAATTTATTATCCATGGTTGTCGGGCGTGGAGTGTTCGGCGAGCGCGGTGCGTATCAAAAACTTGCCGGCACACCTATCCATTTTGTCCTTATATAGTACTTTGGTACTTGTACTTTACCTACATGACCAAAATACCATAGACTTCATAAAAATAAATAGGTATCACGGACTAGTTATATAGAATACCTACCTAAAGGCGCGTTTACACGGTTCACTCTTGGTGATCATTTTAGATGAATCATCCAGAGTGTAGGAAAGTTGGACATGACCCAACTTTGTTCATCGTTCAGTGAGGATGATTATTTTACATTGTTCTTATTCATTCACTGTGGATGATTCATCCAAATCCAAAATTATCACCAAGAGTGAACCGTTAAAGTTAACCGACACTTAACCGGCCGAATTCTGCCGGTAATAAAATCTGTTATCAGTCGGTTAGCGTTAACCGACACTTTACCGGACATTGTAAGAATGGCCCTTAGTCCGTGGTAGCCTTAGATCATATCACGGATAAGATATACCTATCAGTATTCAGTATATCTTAGATCTAAGTATATCTAGTCCGTGGATCATATACTATATATTTATATTATTATGATCTAAGGTATTTATGAACGTCTGAAGTTTGAATTTTGACAATATTGACTAAAATCTCTGAAAATTTTTTTCAATGTGAAAAGTTTTTTCTATTTATATCTAAGATTTTAAAATGTAAAATTAGGTTCTCAATATGATTTTCTATAATTAACTAAAAAAAAGCTTAGGTACCTTTAAACGTCTCTCTAACTAATACTCATTTGGCTAAAGGTGCGATTCCTTAGAACGCGTCTAGAGACGCGCGACCAGCGCGGCCGACGCGGCGCGACTCTAATTTTAGCCGCGCTTGGACTTCTTTTGCTATTTTTAGATGTAGCCGATTCCTTAGAACGCGGCTGACGCGTGCGACCGCCGCGCGCGTCTAGAGCCGCGCGACCGTGACCGCGCCAGAGGCAGTCATGACGCGGCCGCGTGCTCGTAATTTTTATAATTAATACGAATAAATATTACATTAAATTTTATTATTATAATATTTATTAATTTATTATATTTATTTTAATTAATTTATTAATTATATAATACGTTAAATAATATTTATCAATATTATATTATAAAAATGTCTTCGAACATCATGAAAACGGGATTTAGTACTGAAGAAGATAAAACCTTGGCTGAACTCGTTGGGTTTCATCCATGTTTATTTGACTTGGCAAACCCTTCATACAAAAATCAAATAATAAAAGAAAATGTATGGAAACAAATTTCAAACGAATTGAACAGACCAGGTATTTTTTAATTTTTAAAACTTTTTATTTATAAATGCAATAGTATTCAGTCCGGTCTTATTACGTTATGTTACGGTATTTATCATATATCTTTTTACAAAAATTGGTCTAATATAGTTAGGTCTGATCGAATATAATATTATAATAAATATGTATTATATTATATTTTTCACTCAAGGGATAATATTTCGGGACAACGTTTGGCCCATCACACTTTCTTCATAATTTTAATAATAATATAGACAGAAACTGGAATATTATGTATTATTGATTTATATAAATAATACAAGGTTAAAAAAAATGCTCATGTATTCTCATTTCAGATTAAACATATATAC